TTTCGTTTGGAATTGAACTAACTTGCGAATCAGACAAATCTAAATAGGAAGTAATGAGTGAAAATAATGCGTTATTTATTCTTTTTACAAATTCACCATTGATCCTTTTAAAAAATAACTCACTATTGTTATATTCTGACAAATCGACTTCCTCCCATTCATCACTATTGTCGCTATTGTCTTCATCTTCATGTATACTAGGAGTATTAACTTTCTGTTCAGATTTTTTAAGTCGCAACCATTCGGTATCTATAGTTTCAAAAATACTCGTACTTCCATCAGAATGATGAACGACCTCCTTTGACTTTCCCTTATCAATAATTTTCGAGTTGGAAACAGTATTTAATTCTTCATTAAAATCCTCAATTGATGACACTTTTTTTGGATTTGATGCCTCTTTAGTCTCAACTAAAAACTCTTGGATTATGTTTGATGTTTCTTTATTGCTCGTAACCTTGGTAGGAGCAATATCAGTAGTTTTATCGGTTATCTCATTTTTCTTTCTTCTTTTACGGGTAGTTTTTCTAACATTATTGGTTATTTCGTCATCACTTTCAGTATCCACTATGGATGGATGCACATTGGTTTTTTCTTTGGCAGCAATACGCGCTGATCTACGAAGAGGCATTTTTTATTAAGTGATTATTAAGCCGATTTTTATGAAGAGATGCATTATATAGTAAAATTGGTTAATAATTACGTATTTATCTTGATACCTAAAATAGAAATTATGGAGTACATTCTCCAGCACAGATTTTTCGGAATAACAATATTAAAAAAAATTTACCTTAATTAACCTTGGATTACACAATGAAATTAATGTATGCTGTCGACCTTAATTTGGATTAAGTTATATGCTCCATGTACGTACGTAAGTTTAATTATCAAGAGCGCAGTAATCGCTCATATAAAGTGACTTTTTATAGTAACACATGGATTACACATCACATCTAATGTTCCGTACGGACCGAGCCATCTGCTAGGAAAATCACTCGAGATTTTCCTAGCAGATGACCAGATTCGGATTCGAATTTGATCCGAAAGCCGAGATCAAATTTAAGATTTGAATTTGTTGTGTTAAATCATCAGACCAATCTGGCATTAATAATTCATACTGCACATACAATCTAGAAAACTATGACGATATTCTACAACATCTGATTGTTCATAGCCATCAACATATATGTCTTTTGATACAATTTAAATTCTCATCCTAAATGTTTTAACCATCATTATGCTGTTTTATTACTAATAGTTTTTCCCATTT